ATATAGAGGGGGTTCCTGCGCGAATTGCTGCAGGGAGCGTTGAAGTGAGTCGCTTTGGGTATTTGCGGTGGGAGGACAAATTCAGGAGGTGGGGGAATAGGTATGATGGGGGGGGGGAAACCAAATTCTGAAAGTGGGTGAATGGGTAGGGTAGAATGTGTGTGTCTGTGCCTGCAAGTAAGTGTGTGTGTGTGTGTGTGTGTGTGTGTGTGTGTGTAAAAAAGAGAGAGAAATCCACCCTCTTGCTTTGGGTGTGTGTGTGTGTAAAAGAGAGAAATCCACCCTCTTGCTTTGGTGTTGTACAAACTTTGAAAACCATGAATCCTAACACTCCTTTACAGTTAAACCCCTTCCCCCTACATCCCCACAACTCCCTTTGGATGTCTTTTTTCCCTCCAGTTCAGGATTATTGACCTCTGCTCTGGTAAAACCCCACGGGAAAGAAGATCATTTAAATAGTATTTCTGATCAAAGGCCATGATTTTGTCAATTGTGGAAGTATATTTCCAAAGTTCTTTTGCTGTATGAGGCACTAAAGTGTTGTGAAGTTAAAAACAACAGGGATGTTTTCAGCAATGTGTATTGCTTAGGTAAAAAGCTTTGTACATTTTAAAATGTTGGCATTAGGAAAAATATCCATTGTGATATGAAACCATGAGTGGGAGAAGTAAGCGGGGTAGCAATTTTCCTAAATCTATTAATTTTATTGAAAGACGTGATCTGCGCATACCGAAATCAGTAACGTACATGGCCTAGAAGAGTCACTGGGTTGGTTGGCAAGGGACCTAGACAATGTTACTTACTATAAATGGGAAGAAAATAGTTTAAGGATATAAGATCACTGTTTTTAAAGTTTTGGGATCTGTTTAAATTTAGCATAAGCAGTAATATGTGGCAGGTATAGTATCATCTAGGAGTTTTCGGGTGCCAGCATAATATTAAACTTTACTATCAATAATTATGATACCAAGAAGATGAATTATTTTCCTCTGAAACATCACCTCCATATTCTACTCCCCTTCCCAAATTCCTTTGCTTATAAGGGATAATTTTAAAAAGCGAAAAGCAAACAAGGAAAAGGGGAAAGGTTGGTGACAAAGCTGAGAGTTCTCCTCAAATACCCTGGGGAGGGGAGGGTAAGTGATGGAGCTGTGTCTGTGTCCAAAGACCCAGTCAGCACAGAAGGCAGTCACGGACAATGGAAATCTCCTTTGAAATGGGGTGTATACGTAGAGCCAAAGCCGGGCTGTGCCCCGGAAATGCCTGTTGGAGTCTCTGGGAGCTGAGGATGTTTATTTCTGACGATTTGGCCCTTAATTTTCTGAATGGAAATTTTTCCTCAGCAGATGTAGGTAGGGAGGGAGGCAGGCAGGCAGGAGCGCCTGGTAATCATGCCAGGGTGCATACCTTGAGGTGAAATATGAGCCCACATACAAAAAGAGTTGAAAGGCATCAAACAGGAAATATGATGTGACTAATTTCAATTGACTCCAGAGGAAGGGTGCATTAAATAACTGTTTGCTAGGGCCTGCTCCTGCAGATCTTATTCAGGCAAATTTCCCACTGAAATCAATAGGTATTTTGCCTGGAGTGAGAGCTTTGTCTTGCCCATGTGCCCTGAGTCAGGAAAGAACTGATACACGTATTGGAGTCAGTAGGACATATGGACATACTTAGCATGAGACGGGTTTAAGCACATGCTGTGTCACTTCTTAAATCAGGGATGCAATTTGTAGCATCCCCAAGTCGGTCAGGCTACATTTCTGTGGTCCTTACATGTTCCAAAAGCTCTCATTGACTTCAGTGCAGTGATTCTGGATTTACACTGGTGGGAATAAGACCAGAATGCGATCCATTGTGCGTGGAAAGAAATGCCTCCATGACTCAAAGCAGCCAATACCCCTGACAGCCTGACAGAGCCATTTGTGTGTGTTACCCTATGTCAATTGAAGTCAAAGGCATTACTGCAGATTTTACACCAGTGCAATTGACAAACATTTGTCTGAAGACCTTGCCAATGCTCATATTAGACATCAACATGTGTAAATGAAACTGAACCAATTTACAGGAAGGGAATCCCCACATGGATACTATAAAGTTACTGCTTTTCAGATTGTTTATTATTAATTCAGTGTCCTTGAGGCAAAATGCATAAAGAATTTTTAAACAACTTTATTAAAAAAAGGAAAATCCGCCAGAGTATTGAGGCCTGAACTGTAATTCTGAAATGCATTAAAAATTGGAGACAATTTAAAAAAAATCCGCAAATCACCATCATCTCCCGTAGCCTGCGTGTGCAGTAAAAAGTAATCATGCAAATTCCAAAGCTGTGCTTATGTGTGGCTTATTTGGATAAAGAGGACTAGAACGTATATATTCTAGGATCCCATTAAAAATGTGTCTGCGAAAGGATTTAGCTCTTCAGAGATGATCCATGAAAAAGGGAGTGCAAAGCTGGTTTGGGGAACAGCTGAGTGGAAAACCCTATGCAAATGATTTGTGTTCTGTTTCCCCAGTCCCCGGAAGATACAGTGCTCACCAGATTGGCTGCCCTTCAGGCACAAGCATCCTTGGGATTATGTCATGGAGGAAGAACATGCAGATATTTTTTCCCCATAATCTCTGAGCCTTCAGGCAAAGAATTCTCTTAATGCCCCAGCTGGAGCGCTGAACGACACCCTTTTTCCAGAAGTAGAGTGGTTTTTCGTGCGCAGAGTGGGAGAACTGTGTGCCGCTGGATTTGGTTGCTTGAATCGTGCGGCCTGGCTGTTGCGTTACCTACTGTGGATCCCTGACCAGGCCACGGGGTGGGCGGGGAAATGGTCACGTCCCAGTTTTTGGAGTGTTTTGGGGGAAGTCAGCCACGGCAGGAGAGGCGGCGGCGGCAGCAGCAGTCCCCGCAGAGACCCAATTACAATAGGAGACCTTGCCACAAGTGGTGTCAGCACCTGACGAGACCCCTGGAACCCATCAGATGTTACCCAGAAGCCCAGCCCCGCGTATATCACTGTAGGTATCACAAACCGTTGTAATGGAGGCCCCTGTGTGGTGAAACGGGCTACGGGCTCCACCCAGCGCTTTTTGTAGCCATGTGTCTTGAGACAGGGAAACGGAGGAGGCAGTCTGTCTATAACAGCAGTTCTCCAGCTTTATGGCCCACCCTGCTCAACGCAGACCTTTCTGCGGACCAGCAGCCAACCACCCGTGATGACAAAATGGGTGAAGGAGAGGGTGGGAGTGCAGGGTCTGGCTTTGAGGTAGAGTGCAGGAGCAGGGTGGGGTGCTGGTTGTTGGGAGTAAGGTGCATGAGCAGGCTGAGGGTGGGAGGTTGGGTGCAGGAGCAGGAAGGGGTGGGAAGTCTCGGCAGCAGGGGGGGAGAGGGAAATGGGAGATTGGGGGGTTGGACATGTGGGATGGGAGGTGCTTACCTGGCTCCGTGCTTCCCGCTGCTCCCAGGCACCACTCCCCCCCGCCCCCCCCCACACACACTGTTTCCATTTGCCGTGATTCCGGCCAATAGGAGCAGTGAGGAAAGCCTCCAGGCAAGCTGTTTCCTGTGCGGCCATTCCCTTAGCCAGGAATAGAGGGAGCAGCCGTACATGGAGCCACTTCCTTCCCCCACAAGCTGAATCTGGCCTGTGAGGCCTGTCCCCCTCCACTGGGAAGTTGGTGCTGGCGCTCCAACCTTGCGGAGGGGGGCTGTGGGTCTGGTGCACCAGTGCAGGATCCCTGCTTCAGGGGCGGGGGCCACGCCCTGAGCCTGCGACCCACCTGCAAGATAGTCACGGACCACACTTTGAGAACTACTGGTCTATAAAATAGAGATAACACACATCTGTCCCCTGCAGAGTTTGGAGGGTTTTAATTGTTTCGTGTTTGTAAAGTCCTTTGGAGACACAGTGCCCCATGTGAGTGCTAAGTATTGTTATGTGCCCTTCCGTATCCATCTGATGGAAGAAGAGCTTCTTCAATACCAGGAGGAGTATTGGCAAACACTGCACCCACTAAACACTCATATGTACTCTTGGCACAAACAAAACCTACCCATGCACCCAGGAAAGCACTTGCCCCAGCACCCTGCTATTCAACTGCTGGTGAAAAGCAGGGGGAGAACCATTCCTGGCCTGAGAACAAAGGGTCGGGGAGAAGGGAATGGGTCATCAAAGTCAGTTTGCAACATTCTATTCTGTAGGCACTTAGCATTCCCGTAGCACGTTCCTTGAGTCTCCAGGGGCTTTAGAAACATCTGTGACAGGTAGGGAAGCAGCTTCCCCATCTTACATACTGACAGATGGAGGCACAGAGACATGGACACTTGTCCAATGTGTCACTGCCAAGCAGTGGAAGGCCAGAGCTTTGAAGGAAAACTGCCCAGTATACAGAGAAGCCCTGTTAGGTTTGTTTTGTCCCATGTACACTCATCTGGTTAAAATTCTCTCTGCTTTTAGAATTGTCCTCCATGTGAAAAATCCCCCTTGAGAGCTAAAAAGCATAGCAAATTGACGTGGGCCATTAATTCTTCATAGTGGCTCTGAACTGATTGGAGTTTTTCTAGGATAAATTATTTACCAGATAATGAAGGGGGAAACTGTGTGAGTCTAAATATTACACACGGGATTAGCTATCCTCCTCCATTTGGTTGGAATACAAGTCACAGCTTCAAGTGTTTAGCCTCCAAAACAGCAGCTAGCAGGTACTGCAGGGAATTGGAAAACATGGAATATTCTGAGATGCCAAAGCTATCTGCTCCTATTGATATTAATGCCGAGTTCAAGATAATTGCAGTGAAGAATGTGTTCGTGCTGTGTTGTAATCCTTCATAAACCTTGGGCCAAACAATGCACAGGAAAATAAGAAAGTTTCTTATAGAGAAATACTGCCTAAAACCCTATTATAGGATATCCGAGATGCCTGTGCCAGACCCAAGTGTTAGAAAATAAAAGCCAGTGACAGCTGCAAAAAAATCATATCAATATTAGTTTGAATCCTGAAGCAAATTTGCTATGAGTGTTTGTATTTGCTTTCTGTGAATGTCCCAGTGAGCAAATTTACTAGCATTGAGGTTTGTGGGGTAAATGAATTCTGAGCAGGCATTGCAAAATTGTAAAAGGGAGCAAATAACAAATTGCATCTAAAACCTGGTTCTAAAAGCTACGCTCATCCAATGAGAGAACAAAAATGTGCCATGTGACCTCTGCAGCAAACCAAAATGCCTAGAACGTTGAACGGTGACTCTTCTTTGCAAACCAAATGAGCTACTGGCCCAGAATGTATCCATCAGCGTTACTTGGCAAAGAAATCCGAATGACAAATTCAAAGGGTTTTATAAGCATCTGCTCAAGGACAATTTGGGAATAGAAACATTTGTTCACTAAATGATCGTGTTGGGAGGGAGGCCCAGTTTTGGAAGCGATCGCCCTTCCTGGCTATGTGGACTAAGGGACGCAGGCAAGAAATATCCTTCCTTAACTGATGACATGTGGAGATCTCGGAGGTGAAGAGAATGCAAGATGGAATTATATGGAGGAAGAAGGAGACCCACAATGGTAAAAGCATTAGACCACCCACTCAGAATGGAATAGAGAATCTGTGCTCTCTTGCAACTGCCTGAGGGGTGGATTTGAGCGCCGGGGGCAGCCTACACAGTGATATGCAGAGTCCTTCAGCTGCAAAAATAGAGAACAGTTATGCAACTGGAGAGGGAGGAGGAAGACAATGAATGCAGCTGGCTTAATAATCATCAACACTGAATAGAAATAAAATCTCTCCTGTTGGTGCAGCCCGTTGGCCAGATCCATTTCCCATTCACATCCCTGTACCAGAGATGACATTTGGCCCTGCCTCTATCATGTGACCTTCATGCTCCACTCAGTTGGAGCCAGGAAAGCGCTCTCCAGTCGGGTCTTGATCTTTAAGATCTGGACCCTGTTTAATGCCCGCTCCACCAAGTGGTCCGGTCCCTGTGATGGGATTGGTTAGATAAGTTGCACCCGACAAAGAGTAGAGAGAACCAGGGGAGGACAAGAAAAATAATAAAGGAGGCTTTGTCCAATGGGGAAGTATAAAGTGTGGCCTCTTGCGGGGTAGTGTTTTGGACATGTGCTGTTTCTCATTTGCACACTGCTCCTTTGTGGAAAAGGCAACGGGATTCAGTCTGTCCGTGTTAAACCACCAGCTAGCTAGTGAATCTGGAGAGGTGTAGCTTCCACTAAAGTTGACAACAAAACATCAGAGGGAGCAAGACTTCGCCCCGGTCTGTCGCTGAATGGTATGCAGTCAGCTCCCGCAAGCAGTTCTGCTCTGTGTTGTGTGTGCATCTGGTGAGGTGCTTTGGGAGTTCCCATGGCTTTTATTGCTACATTTAAATGGTAGATTCTTTTCTGTTCTCGGAGGGCCCCACATGGAGATCTGGGGATTCCTTGTGCAAGGGGCTGTGTAGACGGTGCCAAATTACAAAATAATGTATTTCAAAATATGCTACGCAATTTAGCTCAAATTGTGTCTCTTATTTCGCACTCCAGTGCAGTGTAGATGCACCCTAAGAGACGCGGTCTCTGCACCTAATGGCTCAAGTTATAATTTTTTTGAATTTTGGGGCATTCTCTTGTTTAGCCCCAGTTTTTTCAGAGGTTTATGTCCCTTTAAACATTGCTGAAGTGGAAGGAAACTTGAATCAGTTTTCAAGGCTTAGTGTGGGGCGTAGGGTTCTTTTGTTTTGGATGGGCTTCTTTTCAGCTAATCACTGCTAAAACACCGTGAGGGGGAAGCCAATGCACCATGCAGCAGGGCTAGCAGAAATTCCCCCACAGATTTGCAATCATGGAATCAGGAACCTTCTCAGCACCAGAGAACTTGCCGTCCGAGGTGATAAGCCCCATGGAAAAGCCTGAGTGGGCTCTAAGACAGACAAGGCATATTCCGAAAAGAAAAGAGCCTGGGCCACAGGGAGACCAGGTTTATTTTCCTCATCTTCATACAGACGCTTGAAGAGGAAAACAAAGGGGAAAGCCAGACCCTGGGGCTGAGAATTAAGCTCCAGAAATGTCTGAGCTTCCCATGGAGTTAAGAAATTTGATTTCCTCTACAATTCTTTTGGGCTCCCAGAAGGGCTTATGAAAATTCCCATCAGCCACCACTTCAGGAAATTGTGCCGACTGCAGGACAGGCACCCAGAGGGCAGTGTGATGGCATCGGAGGAGTAGAGTGCTGTGTCTGGATGCAAGCTAGATCTGCCTCCGAAACAGGAGGGCTTGTGTCTGTCATGGGGATAATAATCTGCCTTTCTCCCACTTGCCGTCTGCTCTGTCTGTTTAGATTGTAAGCAGGGGGAGTCGCTCTCTTCATGCGTGTACAGCGCCTTGCACAATGCGGTCCCAATCTTAGTTGGTAAGTTACAGCAATAATCACAAGATTTCATTTCTTGTCAGACAAACCATTAGACGGGGCCTTTCACGCCTTTTCTGAACTACCACTCTGTCTTTCCTGCCAGTTCCTGCTAACCTGGCTTTCCCAGGGGGCGTGAGAAGCTGTTCTTTTGCTCCAAATGCAGCCTTGTGTTCCTGTGTTTTGGTTTGCACAATAAGGGTGCCCCAGCCTGCACACCTGATAAAATAAACTGGGAACGCTGTGTTTATTTGGCAAGACCAGGAGCCCGCCTCAGAACGGGAAGGGAGAATCCTTAGCAGCTGGTTCTCACAGTCCGGAGATCCCGCTGACCCAGAATGATGGATTATGGTAGATGAGTTTCCTTAATCCCAGTGTTTATCGGCAGTGTTTGCAGAAGACCCTGCTCCAGACTGATTTGCAAAGACCTGCTGGCATTGAGACCCGTTCCTGTTATGAGACCCTGCTCTGCCTTGTCTGTTTAGATGGCAAGCTGTTTGAGGTAGTGTCAGTTCCTTGCTGTGTCTGTGTACAGGGCCTTGCATGCGCTGTAGCATTGGGGGTCCACAAGACTGTATTAGGGTCCCATCCTGCTAGGGCAGGGGTGGGCAATCATTATTGCAGGA